CTATGTCAAAGGTATGTTCAGGTGTCACCTTTGATAGACTAGAAATGAATGAATGAAAAAGAACTAGAGACCAGGGCTCTAGATGTTTTTCATTCATTCAGCTTAGGGGATGGGCACTCACCGTAAAATAGTACAAAATCATTTCGACTTCCTTCGAAACCAAACAAATTTTAATTGTAATTCAAAGAGATTTTAACTAATCAGTAGCACAGTGGCTAAACGTTCAGCTGCGGTGCTACACGCCGCGGGTTCTAACTCCGCACGGAACAAGCGTTTGTTTGTTATTGTTCTGCCTCCAAATATTTGTGTATGCCCAATATATGTAAACGCCTCCATGATGCAGAAGAAAATATTTTATTTCTGTTAAATAATAATAAAAAATTGGTTCAGATTTTCTTTATCAAATGCCCCGATATGTTCGGAAACTCCTATCAAGAAACCCAGATAGTTACAAAGACGCTAGACCAAGAATTCACTGTCCATACTGCGTACTTTTTATTTACTTTTTAACAAAGGAAGTTATTACGATTTTCTTTCAAGTGAGTGCTATCTTCTTGAGTTCTTGATATATATAAATATAATCCCCACAACACAAAACATCACGGTATTTCAGACACTAAACAACGACAAAATTTATTTTATTTATTTAAAAAAAAAACGTTACCTCCACACTAGAATTATCGCCTGTATCGTGGGCGCAGTTTACATACATAAATTTCACAAGAACAAACATCCAGACCCGGAAAAATTATTTTTAGGCCATACAAATATTTGTTCCGTGCGGGATTCGAACCCGCGGCCCTTGGTGCTGCAACTTATTGCTAAGCCACTGCGCCAGGGAGCCGTCAGATCCCCATTATTAATCCCATTTATTTTTATGAACCATATGGTGGTGGCGTAGAAAAATCTATCTCCTCATTTCCACCTGTGGGCGTCCTACGCGGCACATATAGAAAATGCAATCAAAATCTAATAGACTCCGATAGATGGCAATATAATCAATTCAAATTTGAAAAGAAACCTTTATCCGCCAATAAATAATGGGAAAGACCGAACGCTATGTGACCAACTACGTGACAAAAAAAGTCAAAAATATATTTCGCGCGGTCAAAATGACTTTACAAAAAAGGCGCTCATAATGAATGACACATCAGTATTTTAACGTGGGAGGTAAAAATTACACATTCACTCCCAACTGGTCACCCAATTCATAATACAACTAATTTTGAACCCATAAAACGAATGCAGCAAATAACAGAGCGGCCTCTAATTTTACGATTCGAAAATAAGACAAATTGATCTAATCTACATTGTATTCAGTCAAAATAAACTCTAAGGCGTTGTCACAAGGGTTTCTTAAAAACGGCAATAATATTTTGACAAACCATTGTTCTATAAAAAGAGATGACGGACGCAAAGGCAACTTTATCATTCTGCCTATCTCAATACGAAGGCAGAGTCACGCCCACTGCGGTCGGGAGGCGGCGAGCGATGCTATTGGTGGAAGACGTGCGCGTGCGCAGGTTCCAGAATCAAAAATAAACGACTGTCAAACCGCTTTGGTAGTAAACATTTTGGTTTTAGAACGAGCGCGGCTAATGCGGCGCGCGATGGATTTATGATGGATCTATCCACACGGACCATTTGAAAGACGATATTCGATTCATCGAAGGTTACTGCCAATGTCATTGAACTTAGCAATAAATTCTATAATGTTGAATGTCATCAATGTATACAAACAAACACGTTTCTGAATTAACTTGTCGGAAATACGACAGGAGATTCCAATTCTGATCTCGAAAATACTCGTAAATCAGGATAGCATTAATTTTTTAAATTAATAAAGAGAGTGGATGTTCAACTTGCTCTCTTGCTTACGCAGTTAATCATTATGAATAATAAAACAGCGTAACGCACTATACATTCAGTATAGAGCAATTACAGTTCGACCATACCGTAATATGTCCCCATCACAATCACACACTAGTGTACCGTGAAGGACATAATTACATGATATACGCCAAAGTATGCAAACCAACAACACTACACATCAGTGTAACAAAGAGCAGCCTAGAGCAGCCTCAGCAACACCATCCTCCTTGCCAGCACCAGGAGAATCCACCTCGGACAGAAGCACGTTATCTTAACACTACTACTACGTAGAATGACTTAAGCAGAATCTCCCGCGCTCGGCACCTCCACTGAACTTCATACTGCACAAACCAGTGGGAGTTTGCCGACCTACCCTCAACACTACCCCGCCACAGTGACACAACTTCTCGCTCACTCTCGATCCATCCGGTATTTTTTACACACCGACAAACCTATAGTAAATTACATAACACATTAGGTGTGCGTCATCATCATCATCATCATCATTAAAGCCCTTCACAAGTCCACTACTGAACATAGGCAGCCGCCAAGGAATGCCACAAAGCACGGTCCTGAGCCACATGCATCCATCGACTTCCTTCAGGTAGTCACTCCATCTAGTGGGGGGATGCCCTACACTTCTTCCGAGGCCGCCACTCGAGAACCTTTTTTCCCCTTCGGTTGTCGGTTCTTTGAGCTATATGGCCGGCCCGTTACCACTTCAGCTTACTAATCCGTTGGGCTATGTCGGTGACTCTGGTTCTACTGCGGATATCCTCATTTCTAAGTTTATCACGCAGAGAAACTCCGAGCATAGCCCTCTCCATAACTCCCTGAGTGACCTTGAGCTTCCTCATCCGGCCAGCAGTGAAGGACCACGTCTCAGTTCCATAGGTCATCACTGGCAACACGCACTTGTTGTACAGTACCGTTTTCAAGTTTTGAGGAATACCTGACGAGGTGTGTCGAAGTTGGACTTACCTAGACTATTTGTCCCTTAGTGCTCCCAACAACTACCGCATAGGTGTAACATGGACGTTATACATGACCTTCGTTTTGTTTATGTTCATCTTAAGACCTATCCGTTGGGAGGCACTATTGAGGTCATTGAGCATAGTGTTTAGGTTCTCCAGCGATTTTGCCATAAGGACTATATCGTCGGCAAATCGAAGGTGAGTGATATACTCGCCGTTGATGTTAATACCGTATCGTTTCCAGTCCAGAAGCTTGAAAGCGTCTTCCAATGCAGCGGCGAAGAGTTTCTGGGATATAACATCACCCTGTCTTACACCTCTCTGCAGTTAGACAGGTTTCGTACTCTGGTTCTGTACTCGGATAACCATCGTAGCCCTACTGTACAACCACTTCAGCACTTCGATATATAGATAGTCAACTTGGCACCGCTGAAGGGACTGCAGCATCGCCCAAATTTAGACGGAATCAAAGGCTCTCTCATGGTCCACATACGCCAGACATAGTGGCAAATTGTACTCCTCGGACTTTTGTACAATTTGCCGAAGGGTATGTATGTTGTATATTGTGCTAAAACCTTTTCGGAAACGGGCTTGTTCGGGAGGCTTGAAGACGTCGATTCTGCGTGCGAGACGATACGTAATGACTCTCGAAAATAGCACGTAGACGCGGCTCAGAAGGGAAATCAGTCTGTAGTTCTTCAAAAGAGCGTTGTCACCTTTATTAAAGTGCCTCCATGAATAACGGAATTAAAGAGCTTCTAGAGGTCTTTAAGTGCCGGTTTTCTATCCGCTTTCAGAAGCTCCGCTGTAATTTCATCCTCGCCTGGAGCCTTACCCTTTTTAAGGTGCCATTCTGATCTCGCTCAGACTGACGTCCGTAATTTCATCGAATAGTGTCGGATAAGACTTGCTCTTGGATCGTTACTCACACTTGCGTGTGGCTCCAACGATGATATGTACAGCTGCCCATAGAACCTCTCAATCTTACTCAAAATCTCAGGTGTCCCGGAAATGACGTTGCCACACTCGGTCTTCAGCTTCAACAGTTGGCTCTTTCTGGCAGACAGATCTCTAGCAAAGACTTTGGAGCCCTGGTTCCGCGCGATCGCTTTTTCAATACGAGCAGTATTAAAGTGGCGTAAGTCCCGCCGTATGCATTTGGAGATCTGTCTGTTCAGTGGCCTATATGCTATCAAATCAACTGAGGACTGCAGCTTCATTTCCCGTCTAGCAGCCATGAGATTAAGAGTGTGATCGGAGAGTTTTTGTGTTCTTCTGCGGCGGTTCTTAGCTCCAACTGCATGGACAGTTTCCACGAGCTTGTCATTTATATCACCCCAGATAAGATTGACAATGTTATTAGAGCTGAAATTCCTGATCCTGAGCAAGACCCTTTCCTCTACGGTATAGTGAACGCCAACATGATACTTGGCGCTTGCGGTAGTTTAAACCACAAATCGCCCTGCATGAAAGATGGTAGCTGCAGTAAGAGGTATCCTCGACCACTTCTCAAGGAGACACCGACAGAAGATGATAGATATCCGCAATACAGGAGGTTGTCTCCAGCTGACGGTGGTTACACAATAAAAAATAATGAAATTGAGTTGGACAACCGCTGGGTGGTGCCTTACAATCCTGTCCTGTTACGTACTCTCAATTCTCATATTAACGTGGAGTACTGCAGCTCTGTTAAGTCTATCAAGTATATTTGTAAATACGTGATCAAGGGTAGTGATCAAGCAGCCTTTACTATAGAGAATGAGAAAGATGAGGTGAAAATATACGAAAGCGGCCGGTACATAAGGAGTTCCGAAGCAGTTTGGAGGATCTAAAGCTTTCCCATTCATGAAAGGTTCCCTCCCGTCTTACATCTCGCTGTTTACCTTGAAAACGGCCGACGTGTATAGTTTACCTCTAATAATCTGTCAGAAAAAATAAAGAGTCCACCTCAGACAACGCTGCTAGCGTTTTTTGAAATCTGCAAAACGGACAATTATGCCAAGACACTGCTGTACTCTGAAGTCCCTTTTTACTTTGTCTGGAACCAAAATAAATTTTCTAGAAGGAAAAAGGGCAAGTTGTAGGGGGCTGGCCCGGATTGAGAAAATTCATTCCACCATTCATCCAAACAACACCGAGTGCTACCACCTACGCTTGCTGCTCCATGAGGTTAGAGGACCGACATCTTTTGAAGACTTAAAGACTGTGAATGGTATCCTCCATCCAACATTTCAATCTACTTGTGAGACTCTACGATTGCTCGAAGATGACAACTATTGGGACACTACTTTAGAGGTAGCTGCATTGTGTGATTCTCCTTTGAATATGCGAGAGCTATTTACAATAATGTTAACTGTCTGTCTACTCTCTGATCCTTTAAGCCTTTGGGAGAAATACAAAGACAGTCTCTCGGAAGACATTAAACGGCAACTGGAGAGAGAATTGCAAGATAGTGCGCAACTGCGCATAGACGAAGTGTACAACAGATGCTTGATATTGATCGATGATGCAGTGTTAGCACAAGCAGGACAAAACTTGGCACAATATGCATTGCCTCAGCCAAAAAGATCTGCAGCAACTTTCGGTAATCGAGAATATCTGAGGGAGACCAATTATGACCTCGGTATTCTGAGAGAAGTGGTGTACTCTAATGAGGAGTAACTGACGGATGAAAAGCTTTACGTTTATCAGCAGATCCTTTGCAATATTGAGAAAGAAATTAGAAAAATATTTTTTCTGGATTCTCCTAGTGGCACTGGAAAAACCTTCCTTATCAATTTGCTATTGGCAAAAGTAAGAAGTAATCGTGGCATCACCTTAGCTGTCGCATCATCAGGAATTGCAGCAACACTGTTGGAGGAAGGCAAGACAGTTCACGCTGCCTTCAAGCTCCCGTTAAATCTCATCCATGTCGAAACTCCACTCTGCAACATTTCAAAACAGAGTAGTGCGGCCCAAGTGCTACGTGATTGTAAACTTATAGTTTTGGACGAAAGCACGATGGCGCATAAAGGGGGTTTCGAAGCACTAAACAGTACTCTAAAAGATATCAGAGGAAACGATGACATGATGGTTGGAGTCACCATGTTGTTAGCTGGAGACTTCCGTCAGACTCTGCCGATAGTGCCGAAGGGAACTCGAGCTGACGAAGTTAAGGCTTGCATTAAGGCCTCAAATCTTTTGCTTTAGTCAAAAAACTCTACCTTAAGAAAAACATGCGAGTGTACTTGAAGGGCGATGTTTGCGCTGAACAATTCTCCGATCACTTTCTTAAAATAGGAAACGTAGAATATCCGGAAACTGAGGGCAAAATTACAATTCCACCAGATCTTGCCTTAGTTGTGTTGACCGTTGACGACCTAATAACTCGAATATATCCAGATGTCCACAACTTACACAGCAAATCCACAGAGTGGCTGTGCGAAAGTGAGATTCTCACACCTAAGAACGATTAAGCTTCCGTCATTAATGACATTGCTTAAATCATATAATCTTGTTAATTTATTCTTAGAACCAACACGTATTTCTGGGCCTAGTGCGACCTGTATAGATAACATTTTTACAGATGTTAAGCCCTTGCATAAATCAATTATTCAAAATTTAAGTTCAGATCACTGTGGGCAGTTGGTATCATTGCCTTACATACACAAGTAACAGAAAAATAAGAAAATTGTGTTTGTTCCAATAAATGAACATCGCTTGGAGAGGTTTACAAGTAATATAATAAAAAGACTTCCATTTACAAACAGTGCTAGTTATTTGTATGGTACGTTATTTAAAATTATAACTCATGAATTTAGTAGGATATTTACTTCTAAAACTTTCTCTTTTAACAGTCGCAAATCATTTAATGAATGGGCGACAGTAGGAATTTATAAGTGTAGGCGAAAGTTATACGAGCTTTATAATGAAAGATCATGTAATAGTGAGAGATTTTGTCAAAACATATTCTAAAATATTTAAAAAAAGTGTGCTCCACAGCTAAGGCTTTACATTTAAGTAACAAAATTAAAACTGCATCTAACAAAATTAAAATGACCTGGAGAATAATAGATAGTGAAACGGGCAAGGTCAAACCGCGCAACTCGGATTTTCAATTTAACAATAAATTAACTCGATCTGATCAAGAAGTTGCTATGGCTTTAGAAAAACATTTTACTGATGTTCCTTTTTTGACAACTAAATCATTAAACTCTTCTCCTACTGTCGCCGAATCATTGCTCAAACAAAATGTAAAGGCTTGTTCAAATACCTTTAAATTCCATAGAGTACTGCCAAAAGATATCGTTAAATATTTTAAAACTATTGATGTTAAGAAAACGCCAGATTTATGGGGGATTTCCGTTAAAGTTATTTTATCTATAATAGATATAATAGCATCTTATCTAGCCACTATATTTAATACAAGCGTCGAATCTGGTATGTTTCCTGATTTAATGAGACGTAGTAAAATCATACCTTTATTTAAATCTGGTAGTACATTACACCCCGCCAATTTTAGACCAATTTCTGTACTACCAACATTTAGTAAAATTTTTGAAAAAAATATTTAATATCAGATGTAAAGTTTCTTTAATATTAATAAATTGCTACATAGAAATCAATTCGGTTTTACAAGGGGTCGCTCGACAACTGACGCTGAAATTGGGCTTATTAAACATATTTTTTGTGCATGGGAGAATTCAGAGGATGCTTTGGGTATATTTTGTGACCTATCCAAGGCCTTCGACTGCGTTCACCATGAGACATTAATCAGAAAGCTACAGTACTATGGTGTCAAGAACACAGCGCTTAAACTTATTATTTCATATTTAAGTAATAGAATGCAGAAAGTTATATTATTATATTATATTATCAATGGTAAAAGTTCTTCCGAGTCACCTGTACTAATGGGTGTCCCTCAGGGCTCAATTCTCGGCCCATTCCTATTTCTAGTGTATATTAATGACTTACCTTCTCTTAGGGGTAGGGGATAATCATGATATAGTATTATTTGCTGATCATACTTCCTTGATTTTTAAACTTAAACGTCAATCATTTAAATGTGACGAAGTGAATAATGCTATATCAAAATTAGTGCATTAGTTTAACGTTACTAATCTACATTTAAACGGAAATAAAACTAAATGTATTAAATTTACAACAACGAATGTTAAAAATCTGAGTATCAATGTGTTTTTAAATGGGGAAGAACTGAGCCCCGTTGAATCCACTGTTTTACTTGGCATCACTCTCGACGCAAAGCTTCAGTGGAGCCCCCATATATCCAAACTAGCAAGCGGACTAAGTTCTGCAGCCTATGCTGTAAAAAGGATTAGAGGTCTCACTAGTGTCGAAACAGCTAGATTAGTTTATTTCAGTTATTTCCATAGCATAATGTCTTATGGGATTTTGCTATGGGGAAATGAGGCTGATTCAGAAACTATTTTTGTTTTACAGAAGAGGGCCATTAGAGCTATTTACAACCTAAAACCGAGAGAGTCTCTTAGAGATAAATTTAAAGAAATAAATATATTAACTTTGGCCTCTCAGTACATTTACGAAAATTTAATGTATATTCACAAAAACAAAGATAGTTTTAGTAAAAAAAGTGATATACATTCTGTAAACACTAGGAACAAACACAAGCTAGTGATACCAGTTTCTCGATTCCACAGAGTCAGTAATGCATTCTTGGGGCCATGTATACGCTATTACAACAAGGTCCCGTGTACAGGCTCTCTCTATTACAAATTTTAAATGTTTTGTTAAGTTGAAACTGTATAAAAAGGGTTATTATAGTATAAATGAATATATGGTTGATAATAACCCTTAGGGATGAGATGGTCGCTTCCAAGCTGTTTCTAAAATAAATTTTGTACTTATATAGTTTGTACAAACATTAATGTCAAATTTGCTTTTTTTTTAAAAAAAAGTCCCGCTGTGTTTCTTGCTGGTTTTCTTCCTAGGACAGAGGTTTTTTTTTCGAACCAGTGATATATATTGAATAAAAATTATTCTATTCTATTCTATTCTATTCTTAGGTAGGTTTAGTGCGCGAGCGAAGCCGCGGGCAAAAGCTAGTTATAATTTATACGTCTTTTATCTTTTAAATACTTATTTAATGCGTTACGTCACTAGAAAAAAATATTAGTATGCAATGCAGATAATTTAAAAAAAAAACATAATTTTCAACTTGACCAACATAAAAATTACAGTAAAACAGTATGCAGCCTCTGGAACGAGTTACAGGCCGGTTCTTGAAGCGCAACCAGTTGCTAATAAAATTTGAACGAGCTGCCTACTACGTAGTTAATGTAAACTGTACAATTCAGTAATCGTCCAATGGTCGACATTTGACCATAATTAATTAATTAAATAATTTAACAGTGGTAGAACCACGCGGCAGCTTTTACTGTCGCGCGGATGGGCCGGCTCGAACCGGGGTGGTACCACGACCTCACAGAATACCAGCGTGAAGTAGAGGTTTACCTCTGTGTTTCGCTTGGTGAGTGCAGGTGTCCGGAGGCCCTTTTTACTGGAAATGAGGCATTCCATCTTAGTCCTCACGGGTGACAACGCATCTGCATTTTGAATCGCAAGCGAGGATAGATGTAGATGTCTATGGGCCGCAGCAACCACTTACCATCAGGTGGACTGTGTGCTCGTTTGTCACCCTTATCCTATAATTTTACCTCAGTATCAGCACCTTCCACTTGAGCGTTTTCAACGGAGAGCGGCACGAATCGTCGACGACCTAGTTCTTTCCGATCGGCTTGATCCACTGGCGAAGAGACCTAGCATCTCTGTGCATCTTCTACCGCATGTACAACGAGGAGTGCTCAGAGGAATATTCGGATTAATTCCAGCTGTTGAATTCCACCATCTTACACTGCTCCAAAAGGAGCGTAATGTTTTTGGAGAGTATGTATGTACGTACGTCTATTCCTTTGGCACGCCTAAACGGCTTGATGAATGGATCTTAATATATTTGTCGCTAGATTCTTTTTAATTTAGCACGCTTTGTAGCCTAAACGGCTTGATCAATGGATCTTAATATATTTGTCGCTAGATTCATTTTAATTGTAGAAGTAACATAGGCTATATAAAATATTTATATATTGCATCTGAAAATACAAGATAATTAAAAATTGAAAATTTTGTACAACCGACTTCAATATAAATCATTAAGAATAACTCAATAACTATTGGTCAGACCTTGATCAATGTGTGACCACATGTGAAGCACCAGCTTTTAAATAAAGAATCATCGAAATCTGTTCACCTAGTAAGAAGTTATGAGGTAACACATAAAAAAAAGAACACACAGTCGAATTGAGTACCGTCTCCTTTTTGAAGTCGGTAGGAAAGGAAGAGGAAGGTTTTTTCAGTAAACTTTTTAACGCGACTGCGTTATTACTGTTTTAACCATTAAGCTTGTTTAAGTTCGTATTTTAAGCAAGCTGTACCTATTTCACTATTTACTTTCGGGTTATTAGGGTTCGAATCCCGCACGGAACATGTAACTATTTGTACAGGCTACAATTTTTTTTCAGAGTGTCAGAAACATCTGTGTTTGTGCAATTCATTTATGTAAACTGCTTCCACGACACAGGAGACAATACTAGTGTGGGGGTGACGTTTTTAAAATTAAAAAAAAAATATTATAAAACTGGATTTTCCACTCCTGCCTAGGAGTAGAAATACCCATGACGGTGGACTGAACGCGGTTACAAATATCACTCGATTTCAATTCTCGCTAACACCATGGGCCCGTTGAAGAATCGGGTGCGCCATTAAATAAATATTTTATAAAAATAAGTTATTAGACCTCTGTGGTTGTTTAAACAGCGCATTGGTGGTGTAAAAATATCCACAACCCCATATTAGAGGCGATAGAGAGAAACGAGCATGAAGCTGGGTAGCATTCACTCGCGAACCTACGCTGTTTTGAGACATTTTAAAGCTATAAGGCTGTTTTAAACTCGTGAAACTGCCATATATAATAATAATAATGTATAATGTACGTAGGGAAGTGACGACCCCATTGCCCGCTGAGACGTAACGGTTATGTGACAAAACTGCTACGTCAGCGCAGTCAATCAGCACCTTGCCTAGAGGTGTTAGCGCCATGCCTCGGTAAAATTGAAGGTGCAAAGGCCCGCTTGTGCACATGGCCTCGCCATTAAACGGTGCTGGGTCTGGGCGTC